GCTATCGTATCAACTTCTGTTCACCTCTGTCCAACTTTTGCATGGATATCCTGACAAACGCAAGAAATCTAAGAAAGTCAGGTGGTATTCCTAGTACAACATCTAAATAGCCCTTTTTTGATAAAGGGTGGCCTGCCATTCGCTGCGTGTTTGAGAGTAAATTTTTAGTGTAAGGTCTCGCTGAGAGTATTTGCTCTGACGTGACTTTAGGTAAACAATTGACTTTCTATTTTATGGATATTAATTCGTTTCCGTAATTTCCAAATCTGGCTTGAAAAGCTATAAAGGTAGGGATCGTGAAATGAAGAGGCAATTAGAATTTAGCGCAAGAAAATAGCAAAATAAATTCTTGAGTAACATGTTGAAGTAGAACCAAAACGGTTATAAGCGGGATGTCGCATATTGTATGCGACACTAAAGAGACCTTCGAGGTAATGTATTGCGAACAAGTACTCAACTGATAGGCCGGACCTTCAAGGAGGCTTTTGCTCTACTGAAAGCGCCGTTATTCTCGCTTATATTCAAAGGTTACAATTTTAGCTTACTTAGTGCTGTGTTAAATAATGCTCCCAATACTGCAAATTTTTGACAACTAAACTTTACGTCCTCATTGTGGCAATCCAACGTTTCCTTGATCGACAGGATTCATGACAAAAATCTCTATTTTTTTAGTCATTAGTTGAAATCGTCCTGTTTGCTTACCTTTTTCGAATCTATAAAACAACATTAGTGCTTGACATTGTGCTTGCGATTACCAAAAATTTATTGTTTGTTTCTTCATTCATTGTTCATTCATTATTGTTCATTGTATTGAAACAATGAAAAAAAAAACAATGAGCGTTCATTGTTCATTGTTCATTTCATTGTCACCAAACGATATAGTCATTAACCTTTCAAATATGCGCTTCACTATTTCAAAAAAAACAATTGAATGACGCTCAATTAAGCATTAGTAGAAACTACGATCTTCGCCATCTGAAGGATGATAGAACCACTACGCCATAGATCTCATCGTGAATCCTGTTTTTGAATCGTATCCCAGACGCAACAAATTTTTAAGCCTAGGCCGTACAATAGACGAAGGGCCGTCTATCTCAAACGGGTGAAGAGTGTTCATGAAGTCCTAGCGTGTCTGAAGGACGCATGAGTACTTGTTCTATAATCACCTAAGTGAAACTTGAGCGAACATAAGTACCTAAGCTGTGAAAGTAAATGGCTTTGGTGTTTTGGTGTTTTGGTGATGTAGTAATGCATCACCAACACTCTAGTGATTAATATAATGTTGGAGAGGTGGTAGCGTAGTAGTTCGTGTCGTACTTCATCGGGAAGCAAACTAATGGCACGACCACCTAAGGAACGCTATCCTCCAATCCACGTAGAAACCCCTAGCTCATCTATCTCTAAGAATTTAAAAGGAATCGACTCGACCAGCATTTTGCGACATACGTAAAAAAACTGAAATCTTCAAGCACTAGACAAACCTACATTCGAGATGATAGAAGACCTTCATAAACGAAGATTGCGATGATTGCGAGGAAAACGAATCGAATTCAAGCAATGCTGAGATCCGCACAGTAAATGTGGTGATGGGTTATGTAATTTTTTAAGGTCATTTTAATAATGTAATGTTGAACCAACGGACCTCCCTTATATGAGGGATCTCGGGCCGGTTAGTCGCCAGGCTATGTGTCGCGTCCCCAAGTGGCGGATAAGGGGTTAATCGCGGACCAAAAGCGAGCTTTGCTTCCCTGAGACCCACGTGGATCCAGGGGATGGACTCCCTGTTTCTGCTGCGCTGATTTGGCACATACTTTCTGTATTTACGAGGCATATTCATGCACGCGTGTGCGGGTGTGTTCTAGTTTATGCAGATTGTATTCTACGAGTCAGTTAGGCCAAAAGCCTGCAATCAAGCGGCAGAGAAGTATATGGGAGGCGTTTAGGAGTCGCCTCCAACAAATGAACTCCATGTCCATTCTAGGAGAGCCTGGCAAGCTACCCGTGAGTATACCCAACCCCCACGTTCAGAGCCCAGCAAGCTGTACGTGGGTATCAAAAACGCTAAACACAGTGAAAAAAACGGGCCTCATTCCCCTGACCTCGAAAGAGACCCCAATTTCGCAGCGTTGGGTAGGACGAGTACGGAGAGGCTGCTAAAATCTCAGGGTCAATGGAAACCGCGTGTGTCGCGAAGAGGTAAAGTGACGATCCGTATCTACAATGCACGTACACTTGCATCCTAGTCCTCGATAGAAGACTTGCTCATGCAAGCAAGAAGGATAAAGCACGACGGCATTGGCCTGGCCGAGACGAGAAGACGCCAGCCTTTCAACGCCGTCTAAGACGCCGGAGTAGAACAGTTTCTCGGAATATGCGACAGTAGAGGAATATGCGTTCTCGTTAACACGATTTTCTTCATGAACATCGATTTATTCAAACAACTTACAACCCGAATCGGACGTTTACGATTAAAAAGACGTGGATCAATTTCGGCTTTGACAATCTGATTATTTTTTGCACTTCATCCTACCATTCTGTGAAACCAATCTAAGAGGGGGTAACAGATTTTAACGAATGTTGAGAGGAAAACAATGACAACCGCATGTATACTGCTCACCAACGATACGAAACTACGAAGTAATTTTGGATCCCTGAAGCACTATAACGTTTGAGTGGCCTTCCTTTTCCGTGGTTTATTGCGTCGTCCACAAACGCGGAATGGTTGCAATGAAATACATGCCAGAAACACCTAGTCTGGATCGTTGCTATTTCGCAATCTTGTCCGTTTTTCCAAGAATGTTTTCTCTATTTCCGACTGTATTTTTTCAGTTTTCAAGCCAAATATGTAGTAATTCCATTGTTATTATTTAGCGCTCTCTCGGCTTAAAAATTTTTGATTTATCATTCATCATTTTTGTATTACCCCGATTTTGATTCTGTGATTCACTTCGTTGGACCATATAGTAGAACACACTCGTATAGAACGCGCATGTGAATTTGTGGCATTAGACCTCCATTATGGTTAAACTTCCCCAATTCTTCACACTTTATCTTAGAAGCGAATTGGAGCAATTTCCAGGATCGACTTCCTGTTAACCTCGGTATTGGGTTATGAATTCGTCGTTCTTTCTCTCAGCAATCGCGAGGTTCAAACTTTTTTGACGATAACCACATGCCACTCTGAGCGGCTGTTCTTCCCGGAAGACAGGTGAGAAAAGCGGCTCTGAAGAAGGCGATTCTGCCGAAGCGTGAGCTACGGTTTTGTTGTCGTGTTATTGTATGTAACAGTTCCATTGAAATTCTAGACTCACCAAGACGAACAAAATTGTTTGCTCCATCATTTGCTTAACATTAAACCTACGAATCACTGAATAGCTCGAGCGATCACCAACAACGTCTTCAACCCGCGGTATTCCAAAGTTGTTCACTAAACTTTGTTCAAAGGACAAGAAGAATACTATGCTCTAAGTGGTTACAGGCAGCTCTGAATAGACCCATGTGCTTCACAGTCATTTGACTCCGGACTCTCGGTCATCGAAGATGCAAGCAAAGGGAGCGGATAGCACAGTAGTAGTGATGTCCGTCATCACGAGCATGGTGCTAGTTCGATTCCACTCCGGGCTGGCCAAGGCTCTCATCCCTCCGCGGTCGGGAAATTGGTAGTGGAGTTGTCTGGGAAAAAATCACTCTCTGCAATCCAATTGAGAATGCTCCAGCCCGGCTATCTCAGAATTCTAGGGAGAATCGTTTGACCAGCATTCTACGACATTCGAGGTGAAATGAAAATCCTTAAGCGGAAACCGAAGCCACACGGTAAAGTTGGAATATCTTCGTGAGCAATGGATGTGAGGAAACGAATCGAATGTGAGAAGTGCTAGGATCCGCACAGTAAACGTGAAGACGGGTCATACAAAACGAAATAAAAAAGGTACAGCCCACATATGCTCCAATGCGCTCATTCAGACGTGGATGTCCATATACACACGAAAAGTACAAGTAAACCGGCGTGTATCGATGGCGAGCTCCACCAATGAATACATCTGCTTCTCGGCACAAGCAAATGCCTTGTTTTTCTTCACGTTTAACTCACCCATGTGCTATCTGGAAGTGTGAGATATTACTTTGCAAAACAACGTACTTGAAACTGCTCACTTGATTAAAGTGTCCCACTAATGTTCCAGATTACTTCCAATATAGAGCAGATCTTGCTCCAATTTAACAAGTCTTTTAGTTAAACAACGAATAAACATTAAATCCGTTGCATAGATGGTCTAGAAAATACTTGCACTTATTTGCCTTCAAACTGAGACCCTTATGCTATATTGTTCTGGATGAGCCGACACGACGCTGTGCCAGCTAGTGAAATACCGGCTCCTGAACGACGCACTGTTTTCAAAAAAAAAAGTAAACCATACTGGCAGCAATAGATCAACATCCGTTCTGTATATTCTCTATTCAAGCATTGCTCGCTCAACTGAATTTGCCTCGATTCTACTATTATACCAGTACCCACGTCGCAAGGGCGACCACTTGTGGACCATCGACTGGGATCAATTCGGCTCTAAAGAAAATAGTAACCAAGGAATTTTTCTGTTAACGCTGTTGTTCTATGGTCAATATTTTTTCCGTAATCAACGAGTGCTAATATGAATGATTTTTCGTGGTAACTATTCGCCATTTTTGCCGTATTTATTTCAACAAGTAGTGGTTTCAGCGGCGAAACGATTGAAAGCTGGCGTTGACTTATATTGCGATAATCTCTGCTGATGAACTATTCGAATTGACTACTTAACACTCTTTCTAGCATTTTTTTCTTTGAACCGTATTGCTCTTAAGATTTTTACGCGTTCAGACTCTCAGTTATAAACATGAGTGGTGGGGTTCTGTTTTAGAAAGATATCGACTTCAGTAACCACGAGTTATTGACCTGTTAATAAATTCAGTACAACTGAATTTACGGTATTAGTTCTTTTAATCAAATATTTTAGATTGTGCTAAGCATGCACACGTTTTGCAATCCAGAAGCCTCGTTGTCTAATATTACTGAGGAATTCGCTGTGAAAATGTTTCATATGAAGAACACCTTCACGATTCTACAGGTCGGTTCCTCAATAACCTTTAATCCACTTTGATGGCTAATATAGACTCCGTAACTAAGTAACTGTCTAAATCTGGTCTTATTCAGACAATATTTTGTCTGGTTGGTATTATTGGCAACATCTTGAATCTTCGCACACTGCAGAGTCCATCCTTGCAAACAGTTCCATTTATGTATATCCGTTCGCTAGCACTTTTCGATTTGGCAAGTTAAAAAGTATTGCTTTTGCAAGTAATCAGCAAAGTTCTCATCATCTACTCTTCTAGATCTCTTTATCGGCCATATTAGTGCATTTTATTCTGGAACCGTTTGCTAAAATTTACGTTCTGATGATCTATTCAACGTACATTGAGGCAGCCCTTATCAACACATTCCTAGTCGGCGGGCTTTACTGTGCTTTTATGCTCACCGTTGAAAGCTGAGTTTTTTGTAAACTATCAGCCTATGATTCCGCGTGAAACTGCGTCAAATTTCCGAGATGGTTTATGACCAGTTTACCACTTTTCTTCAAGACCAATTTTTTTCAGGTGCTTAATGATCTCACGTCCTCATGTACAATTAGTGTCAAATCCTCGAAGAATGGCTCACAGAAAAATACTGGCGATGGTCGCCGTCGCCGCCTTTCTTCATCTACCGATGATGCTTCAAAATTCTTTGAAAAAGAACGACGACGGCACCTATCAAATCACAAACAATGTTGATTTACTTTGCAGGTGCACTTAAGCACATCTGCGTATACTAAACATTCACAAATATTAGTCTGGATTGCTTATTTTAGAACCAAGAAAGGCAAAATCTCCAAGCGAAATTTTCTGACAATATGAAGTCAAAACCGTCTATTGCCATGTAATGAGAATCAAAAATAAGTTACCAATTTTCTACAGTCGACGTAGCCATGTTCATGGCAAAGTTATGTGTAGGCCATCGTGGTATTTGTTCAAAATTTTTGTCAAGGTACTTCTCGTGGTGTTTTTGAGATAGGTTTTTCGTATTCATTTCCTCTTCATATAAAATCTTAAAAATTTTGCTACGATATGACAGATCATCATGTTTACTACACTGAAAAACTTTTATCTAAGTCTCAGTAATTCTGCTGCCAATGCTCCTTGTGAATACTAGATCGGAATACGAATTTTGGATTTTTATCAAGAAGAAATAACACCATTTACTTTTTGAAATAGGCTTGCCACGAAGAACAACCAGTAACTGTGCTATTGTGGAAAAGGCACTGATTTCTACCTCCATGTGTTCAACTAAAAAGGAAGACTTGGTTTACCTATATCAACAGTGATACGTTATCTATACACTATATACAATTATTAATTAATTAATTATCTAATTATAGTAAAAATTATCTGCTTCTGCATCTTGTTCATTTTTTGCGCCTTTTCATTGAAGAATGTCAGAAGACTACCCGAATTTTGTCAACATTTCTTGCAGGGAACCTCACTGGACGGTTTTTAATTACTACAAAATGACACGGGAATGCTTGCGGTTTTTCATCGTCACCTTCATGTCGTTTCTGAACGTAATTATAGCTCGTAAATTGCATTTAAATAAGGTAAAGCCATATCTATGGTTTTTAAGACATAATCGAGTACTTTGATCAATTTGTAGCGTGTTTTCTGATTGATGGTTGCATAAATAGAGCTTCAGTGACCGTAAAGCAAGGAAGGATGTCAAAATTCATCGTCTCAGTAAAGATGCAGCTTTGTTTTCAGATGCGTCGACGCCGACTCGTCAGACGACCAATGCCATTTGACATGAATTCACCAGACCACAAAATGATGAACCAGTGTTGCAGCAATGACAGCACCACTTCAAGGTATCAGACAAATCTTTCTTTCGGAAACCATTCCCAAATTGTGATACTGTTTGCTCTATAATGGCTCAGTATTCACACTATCATGAAAAATTAGTTTCATTCTCTTACTTTTCCATTCATAAACCTCTCCAGTGCTGTTCTGAAGGAAGCGAGCGGCTTAGAGAGCTTTGAAGAGGATCGAAGATGTAGTGAGGAGAAGAAACAACACTCGACTGCGTGCCAACCGTTTTCACTCCGCGATTCTTCCTACCTTAACGTATACGTCAGAAACATGCCCGCTCGTAAGCAGGTTGAAGGATCACTCAGAATTATAGAACGCGCAGACGAAAGGACAGTGCTAGCAGTATTCCATACCACGTAGGTGAAGGAAAGGATATGAAGCTGCAACCTACGGCAACGATCAAAAATTGAATGCGCCATTCTATGCACCGAGCCATCGATGATAAGGTGGACCGCACAAGTAATGTGTATGAACGACAACCGATGGACAAGAGCGGTTAGGGGCTGGACTCCTCGGGATTTCACGTAGTACAGGAAGACCATCGATCTAATGGTCATAGCTCTTCACGAAATTCCTAGAAGGAAGGTATAATGCTCAACAAATTCCTGGACCGAGCGGGACTCATCAGGCTACTTCTGCAAGCGAAAGAGAAAACTGGAAAGTTCATTGGCACTCGCTAGAATCACTCGGCAATTGACGTGGCGTTAAGTGATATAGTTGATACAGGATGTCTACTGTGACTTACCACTCGTTAGTAGGGCGATAAACACGTCTACACATCTTGCAAGTGATTTCCCACGACGACATTTGAACTCGATTAAGGTGCATTGTATCTTCCTTTTTCGATCACCTGTTATCTCCTCTTTTGACCATGTCACGGACCCACCTTAGGTTGAAATGGAATGCTTCCCATATTTCTACATTTTGGCGAATACGGTAGAGTTTCCGATCCTTGATCACCGGCATCCAAACAGTCAATAGACAGGCATGATTATTTCTGCAGTTCTTCCAAGCCCATCATGACATCATGTTGAAACAAAGGTGACGCTGAATGTCAAAACTGGCATTCGTGGGATTCTATTTTAATAATAAACGTTCTCGTTAGTTCTTTCAAGTGAAGGACATTCACGGCTAAGTTGTTGACGACGACGGCAACGTCAATGACTGTACTATTCCCACATATTTTATGGAACAGTTTCTTCACAGTATCGATCCAAGCGTTGAATAGGCCTCACGTTCTCATCCCATCTTACCCAATCTGATGAATCTTCGTCGATTGCATCATCAAATCCTCAACGAGGAATTCAGCCGTTTTGTGTGTGTGTGCGTGTGCGTATCTGTTATAAGCACAGATCTGCACCACCCACAGCCAAAATTTTAGAAACTTAGCGTGAGCCTAAGATTTCAACACCCACTTCACTCTCATCCTACCTTAGACTGCTATATCGAGCAGTCTTATTGGATTATGAGAATGAGGACCATCATGGTTACTTCTTTTGCGATTATTACCTAAGACAAGCTATTTCGGCTCTTGATTCATTCACTGACAGTTTAGCGGGCTTTTTTCTAGAAATAGTCGTGTAACCTATTTGTTACATGTTGCTAAAACGACCTCTAATACTCTTTCCAGTCATATAATTACAGTGTTTTAGTCGACTCACCTTTTACGATGCAACCTGTATACACTTTAGCACGCCCGCGAACACACATAAATTCAATAGAATGCAGAACGTAAGCCAGGTTTATTAGAGCCAGAGAATCGATCTCCTTTATTTACGTATATCTCTGTACAAACCTCTTTTGGTCCGCGCCTAACCCCTTTTGTGCCACTACCTAGAGACGTGCCACTGTACCCTCGCGATAATTCAGCTAGGAAGCACTTAGTGGAAAGAAAAAGTTAGGTAATAAAAAGGATAAAGTTCTCGACGTCTATCAGACCGTGAGAAATGAGCCATGCGCTCGACGTCATTAACCATCGTTTGAGCTGATTGAACGCACATCTGGCCTTTACAATTTTCCTCAGTGGTTCTTTCTCTCATAACTGCAATTTTATACATGCTTTGGCATTACAAGTTAAGCAGATCTCAGGAATTCTCGCACTCTATTTGCTTCCTCGCACTCGCCTTTTATAAAGCCCTGAGAACATTGTGGGTTGAGCTGCTCCTTGAAGATTTCCTCTTCTCTCTGGAATCCAGCGTTACCATGCTAGGAAATTGTCATGTGGAATAGAGGAAATGAGTTGATTCCAGAAAAGCCTTATACCAATCCCCCGATACCGGAGGTATGGGAGACTCTGTGGGCCTGGGACGAGGTCGAAACAGCTGCTTGCGTTTTGCGGTGTTGAAAGTTGGTTGTCCTTGTATAATACGAATGAGTATCAGTAACAAAAAAGCTAGTGCTAATTTTGCTTTTTTGGATCCTTATCTGTGTCACTTCGTCGCCGAAAAATCTCACCTCGGCACGATAAGGCTGTAAATAATCTGTGAAATAAATTCGGCGATGACTATTTTTCAGAAAACGGCGAGGATCAAATTTGGTGCGCAGTTTTTCCGAAAAAAAGCTCACAGTGCTCATGGTGGCAATTTGCGTAATATTCATACTTGGCAATATTCCTCAAATGCTCGTCATGATACTTCAAAACGAGGCCATGGATAACTTATATGGATTTCAAGTAAGATACCTTACCTTGAAAATTTTTTACTTTGTGTATTCGCAGACTAATTATCCCACCGAGCATGTCAAGAACTTTGGATGAATCTCAACCAGGTTACCAAATAAGATTGCAATAGATGCTCTACTTAATGGTATCACATTAAAACTATAGCTAATAGAAATTTTTATCGCATCGCCAACCCAACAAGCTCGCGTGGCGTTGTGATTAGAGGCACACTTCAAAACACCCTGGAGCTGTCGTTGGTTCGATCGCGGTTCCCAAGCTCACCAATCCTTCCATACTTACAGGCTCGGGAAATTTCTATGGGAGAGGGGTTTAGGAGAATAGCAATACTGATTTTAATAGATCAGAATGACACCGCAATTCAGTGTATAGGCCAGATACGTATCCAATGACCTCTACAATGTTTGGTGAAGTCGATTATTTGGCAAATTCATCAGGGGTTGTGACCAACGTCGGAATTTTTTTTACCGGCAACTCTTCGCACTTGACGTTAATGAAACACAAAACTGTTCCTGCAAGTTGTACCAGCAAAATACTTCCGACTTTCAAAAGAAGCACTGTTACTAAGACAGAAGATCGTATTAGCTCGACAGTCAATACACTTTCTCCGCTGCTGTCTAAAACATCGAGTCGTTCCGAACTTCATCAAACAAAGACGACTACACGATATATGCGGACTACCAGAGGACAGTCACCGAGTACTGGACATCGAATTGTGAATACTACGCACCTGTCTACGAAGCCGGCAAAACAAGATATTCGCCAAGTGGAAGAAGTGCGAGACGAAGGAAAACTTTTGTGCTCAGTATTTGGAGGACCGCCTCTGGAGTAGAATAGTGGGCAGGTCAGTGCTGATTTGCAACTCTATTAGGTCTAATGCCAAAGTAACAATGCGGAGAAAATTCGAAGACCTTTTGAGTAAGTCGCATAAAACAGCTTCAACAGCGCACAGATATATCGCTAACGAACATCAAACATGTCACAGTAGGATAAGTAATGTGCAAGAAAACTCAAGGCTAACCGTGTTAGGAGGCATGACTCTCCCTGACGGTGCGCAATCGTTATTAGAATTGGGACCGAGTTTCTCACCATCTGAACCTATTTCTAAGGTAACCTTGCATAGGGTCGCATGTAGTTTACATGAACATCAAGATAGACTCCGCAAAAAAGCTGGCGATGAAGCGCTAAATAGGTGCGAACAACACCAAGTGGGTGCCCTACCAATAGCACCATTTCCTCAGCCGTTCTTTAGACAATAAGAGCCCAGTAATAAAGTTGATGTTAAATTTCAAATGTTTACGAAAGAAACTCTCAAAGTACTTAATCACCATCGTTCGAAAAGATACAGTTCAAACCTCACTGAAGCGCAAAAACGTGGTATGCGAGAGGTAGGAAAGCTGGTAAAGTTGAATAACATGACTAACCGTTAGTGATAAGGGCGGAGAGTTTGTCGTAATTCCCCATAAGTTAAATGTGGAGATAACGAAAAAGTATCTTGAAGATGCTTCGCTTTGAGAAGGAGTTTAAAAGTCAATACCGAAAATTGAACCACGAATGGGTCAAAATGGCAAGAACTGCTGGTTTAAAACTATCAGTCATCATTATCTAAGGTTAGACCTATTATTAGCTGCGTAGACGGGCTAACGGACAAGATGGCATGGTTTTTAACCCTAATATTTAACCAGTTGTTGAGCCACATTCCAACCCATCTTAAGAATACCTAGAAGTTTCTGGATCACCTACGTACTGCGCAGCCTAGCAGCGCGTGCGTGATGGAGCCCTTCGACGTTACCGCCCTTTATACAAACGTGTTGAATGACTCCGCAATGCAAGCCATATTCGAACTCCTTATACAACACGAAGAAGAAATAAACATGTATGGCTTCAAAATAGAGCGCTTGATGGCACTCTTAAAAGAATGCTTGAGCTGCTCAATCTTCAGGTGGTGCGGAAAGTATTACGCTCAAATAAGAGGGTTGGCCATGTGACAACGACTGGCACCAAGCCTTGCCATTGCGTTTATGTCTAAGGTGGAAGCACCGGTAACTGATCTCGGGCCGCAACTCTACTGTAGATATATAGATGACCGTTTTGTCCCTTGCTCAACACAAGAGGAAATAGCCAAATGTTTCGAGTTGTTAAATGCACAGTCAGAGTATATCAAGTTCACCCGAGAGAAGCCGAAAGATAAATGGCTTCCATTCTTGAACCTCCAAATTCACCTGTCAGAAAATGGCTACATTACATAGTGATACCGAAAGCCAAGTAGTAAAAACATCTTGGTTCATTACCTCTCCTCTCACCCCTCTCACACGAAAAGGGTGCTTATAAGAAACATGTCTCGAACAGCAACCAACGTGTGCACGGGAAGAGAGCAGAAAGAGGAGTCCCGGAACATGGCGCCGCAAATAGCGATTTCTAATGGCTACAAAACTGTAGCTCGGGATAGGTGTAGGGGAAATCCTAGGCACCCAAACGACAACTCTAGCGATAGAAAGGTCCCGTTTATCCTACCCTTCATCTCAAATGATGTATGCACAGCTAAACGCTGCTTAAGAAGGGCGGGTCTAGAGAATTCGGTAAGCGTAGTTGAAATGCCACTGAATAGTCTTAGGCGCCAGCTAGTTCGTAACTGCCTATATGACCGTCTATGTGCAACGCAAAATTGCATAATTTGCCCTAATGGTAGAGACGGTGATTGCATGAGCTCGGGTATAGTTTATCTGATCTCCTGTAAGACGTGCGGTGACGAATACATTATCGAAACGGGTAGACCCCTCTGTGTCCGCATGAAAGAACACCTAGCCGGCAAAAATAGGCCAAATACCCCACTAGGCACGCATAGGACCCAGAGACATAACGGCGACGACTTCGAAGTATGTGTCACGATCCTCGCACTGGAGTCGACAACAAAAGCGCGCAAAACTCTTGAGGCGTTCTATATTAATTCCAGAACGCCAAGAATGACCGCCAAGGAAGGAGGAATGCCTCATTATCACGCGTGATATTGGGCAGTATATAAGCCTGTTATTCTGATGGGAGGGGCACATTACGCTTCCATGTGAATTTTGTGCGGTTGGTCCCTACGCGACATACACAGTGGAAGACCCATAGAAAGCGGTGAGTGTGCAGAGTTGTGTTCAATGTGATTGAAATCTTGGTTCAGCGTTTTCTCTGTTTGGTTATGGAGGTGCTTGGCCGAGTAGATTGCTGTCAGCTTGACCTTTCCAGGGTCTGAGGAAGACGAAATCCACCGAAACGTCAGCTTGTCCGTGAATAAAGAATAAAAGTAACACCTCGCGTTTGCTCAACAAGAATGCGATGAATTACTTGATCATTGCGGAGGTTAATAGAAAGTCGTTCGTGGAAGTTACAAAACTGTTCGTTAATATCAAGGCGAACATCATACCATCAGTGTATGTTGACAAAGCAGTAGTCCTACTACTACTTGAGTTCTAATTGACCTTCAAAATGAAGATGCTAAAGTGTATTGCACAATATTTTCCAATCTCTTGTCATCGTCATCAAAAATGGGGTCCGGCAAGCAACACCGTCTCGTCAAAGCTACTCACCGTCGCACTGTAGGTTGACGGTGAATTAACCTTATTAGAATGCAAAGGAAATACATATTCGTGGAAAACTGTTCTCAACATTGGTTTTCTCCATGAAATCGTCATTTTTTGAAATGCGTAAGTGATATAGATAGTGCCTATAAGGTTCCGACTAAACGGAAGCACAAAATACTGTGAAAAAATTTGAAGACAATACTCCCTTATGAAGAATCTAAGGAGTTGCGAAAGGAAAAAACCATGTTGGATAGTTTTATAACCTCGTAAACCAAAAAAAAACGTCCCCCATATGGTCAGGTGGTTAATCTAACGTTGAAAAATGTGAAAAGTATAGAAAACGCTCATAATGTTCTCAGATGTCCAGACCCACAAATAACCAGTGGAGATTCTAGCACTGGTTCCTATTGTGAACCGCCGTGAACTTCGAAATTTGTGTATGACTTGGATTCTTTATTCTATTTTTGCCGGATTCATCACTCAGACAAAGCGAGAACTGATCTAACTCCTCCATATCAAAGTTATTCGAAAAAGTCATCGCTTCCGCCTAGTCACATTTATACGTCTTTTTTACTCGCTTTCGTTGAGATTCAAATGAAATGCTACAGTATAGACGCCCTGTAAACGATAGCGCTGTCAGTGCCGTCTACGACACTACTCATTTTCAAATGGCTTCATTGAAAACTGGCGTGCCAAAGAAAACACTGTTGCGCTACATTACAGTGCTTCAATCCAACTCTGAAAAAAAAAACGAAGACGTCGAAACATTAACCGATAAATCCGGTTTTTAGTAACCTCCTTTTAGCTTATCGAGCATTCCTCGATGTATTGATTACTTTTTGCTGAGGTTTGACGAAAGTCGGTTTTAATACACTTGTGCGACCACTTTGGACGTTGATTGGGAAGTTCTGCAGACCATTCGGCAATTTCTCGAGGCTTTTCTTATTTCGATTATTGCCATTTTTGGGCCAATAACACTCATTTGCAGTTAAAACCTAAGACAACCGTGGCATTGGCCATTAGTTCACCGCAAAGAAATTAGGAATGCGAGTCGAACGGTTTCCAATGCGTTGAGCTAGCAGTAATAATAAATAGTTAAACATTTTCGTCAATTTTCATCTACTACCTTGTATTTTTCAATGGCAGTTTATTATGTGAAATATAACCACAATACAACCACAATGTTGCTGAGGTATTTGCAAGGATCCGGATCGCTGGTGCCTAGGGTGAAGAATGAACACGCTATTCGCCTTTCCGGGGCTAACACGTTCACCACAACACTATGCGAGTCCTTCGTTTCGCCTGTCCCTCAGCTGCCTTGTTGACCTATAGGCACTACCAGCAATCACCCATCAAAGGGATTGATCTGAGGAGCACAAATCGGCATAAACCCAGTTAAGCTGAAGCTGTAGTATAAATCGCAATGTTGCCAATTTTTATTTACTGCCTGCTATTTTTTGATGGCATGGTATTATGAGGTATATAACCACAGTGTTGCTGAGGTATTTAATGTTGCATCAGCTTAACTGGGTTCATGCCTACTTGCGCTCCCCAGATCAATCCCATTGATGGGTGATTGCTGGTAGTGCCTATAGGTCAATAAAACGGCTAAGAGACAAACGAGAGGAATGACACGTATGATGTGGTGGTGATCGCGTTAGCCCCCGGAAAGGGTAATAGCGTGTTCGGTCCCATCGGAGACACCAGCGGTCCGGAGTCTTGAAAAGACTTCAACAACATTGTAATTATAGGTTTTGTTTGAAACAGTTATATAACGTGTTGTAAAACTATCTTTTAAACCTCTTACAATGTAGTCTCAAATTACTCTGTACAGTTATACTAGTGAAAGTTAAATTCTAGTGTTCAACAAACCCTTCAGTTCTATGAGAACTGAAAATGAATGCAATGTGTATAGTAATTTCTTTCACTTGCAGTTGTATCGCAACATTGCCAACCTACTGGAGGTGGTCAATCATTGCTTAAACTTCTATGTGTTTTGTATGGCTAGTAGTGAATATACTCGGGCGTTCCTGCTGCATTGTGTTTGTTTAACCAGCATAATGCTCAGATTTTCACGTGTTGTTAATTGTCCGGCATCTGGAGGAAGTAGTAGGTTTGTTTTTGTTATCTATACGCATTCCTTACTTATAAACGACGAAGGTGCTATAAATTGATTCACTCTCGCTTTTGTTGTATAAAATCTATAATTAGCTTAAGTAGGACTTCAGGAAAAACTTAGTGGAATACCAATTACTCATTGACTATTTCTTAATTTACGATCCAGGTTTTAGCATGATATCACGCAAGATGTCAACGAGTGGATTGCAGAACAAGGATTCGCTAGATGGAGACTTTTTCGCTGAAAATGATTCTTCATTGAGATTTAGTCCTCTAGCGTCAGACGGTTTGTACGGCTGTGTTTGATATATGTATAAATAACACTTCACGATGATTTTGTTTAAAGGTTTCCCTTCTTATACACACATATTTACAGGAAGAGGAAATTCCCAATCGACCAGTTACATCGACGATAGGACACATATGAAGAGTATCCGAATTAGCGGTGAGTACTACTCGAACTAGAATAATCAGTGGAATACTTCCTTAGATGCACTGATGGGCTACCATAACATATCGCGCCATATCAAGCATTCCATCGTTCATTTCGTTATCTTGCCACTCTCATGCATTGAAGCAAGCAGTTTTAAATGTGGACTTGACTGCGGCCTAAGGATTTCGAGATTTATTAAACCAGTCAGTGCAACCGCTTATGTATGGAACCAAAGCTTCGGATAACTTCCTTGAAGACCTTGCTAGAGTTATCTTATTTCATTCGTTATCCATAACAGTATGCTTCTGATCCACCTCATGCATAGCAGATCCACTGATAATTATTTTGCAAAGTGCGTTCTGCAAAAGTTTGAACTGTAAAAACAACCCTTATGTTTATCTTTCCTTCAATTTCTTTGATTACGCTGCATAACACAAAGCTGCTGTCGAGAGGAGCGCCCTGCTCAAAGCGGTCACATACTAGTCGTTGAGTCCTTCTGAGTTAAGCCTTTTTTAATCTTATTTTATATGACCCGTCTTCACCTCTACTGTGCTGATCTCAACAGTTCTCATATTCGATTCGTTTTCTCACATCCATTATCCATGAAGACCATCTAACTTTTACGTGTGGTTTCAAGTACTGCCTGAGGAATTTCATTTCATCTTTAGTGTCGTAGAATGCCACTCGGGTTGATTGTCCCTCGATTCTCCCTGAAATCCTGAGATAGCCGGGCTGGAGCGTTCTCAGTTAGATTGCAAAGAGTGATTTTTTTCCCTGAGAAGTCCGACACTAATTTGCGACACCGGAGCGATGAGAGGCTTGGTTGGCCGAAAGCTGCATCGAATTAGCACCAAGCTCGTGATGACCGACATCACTATGCTATCCGCACATTTTTGAGTTGTATTATGTACTACTAAATATATTTGTCCATATCCACCGAAGGCACGTGATTCGCATAGGATGTGATCTATCTATAATTATTTGCTTTTTTGCCATTTTGTTTTTTTCCAGCTGACTCCTAATCTAATTTCGTCCCTGCTTCGTTGAGTTCGGTAAAGATTTTCGTTAGTTTTGTGCTGCTGTCGACAAGAGGGCAATGATGTAGATAAAGGGAATATTGTACAGAAATCGTATATCAACACCTACCTCTCGCCCCGATAGAGTGACTGCGCCGACTATGGTGTTGGAACAGTGATTCATGTTGGCATATTTTATTACTTCGTCTTCGTTGTTCAATGACTCATATAGTCAGGAAGTACTCCTTTTCTGATTTGGTCCATGAAATCAATTTTCTTACGAAATGAAATTTACCTCATGGGTTGGGCTTTGCTCAAATCCTCTCAGATGCGCGTTAGAGCGATCTTCTTGAAGGCCTCAATGAGCAAAGCTTGATCGATCGTTACTTATGAATATAATAATCGTTTCCTCTCCAAGGACGCGTGTGGCCAGTAACTGGAGGCGCCACTGCGACACAAATAGAATCGATCCCAGCGCCCATGGCTCACCAAGGCTTCCATCCCTCCAGGGTCGGCAAATTGGTACCAGACTTGTCTGGGAGGTTAGGAGCACTATCTCTATATGTCGTTAGGCCACCACGTGTCATTGTATAGGCCAGATACGCATTCAATCACCTACAACGATACTTAATGAAGTCAAATGCATGGCGCATCTCTCGGGAATTGATCAACGCCGTGATCTTCTATCCTTTTTTCCCTCTTCACAAATAAAGGAGATACGCTAAATCCTCAACAGCTTGGATATCTGTTCATTTATGGTAAGAACGTCGTGTGTATTTCATGTTAAGTCCGGATGTAATCGAAGCAACCTCGCAGGAGAGTAGCTTAAATTTCGTCCATTCTTTGATCCCCCCTACTTGTGTAGTTTCATTTCATTGGCGCGTGATTTGTAAAAGGCTAGTTACTGCCAAGTCCTTCCGGTTTTTTGCGAAACCTATTGAATTCCACGCTCTGATCTTCCTTTGAAGTTGGTCATGTCGTTTTTCCTCCTATGAAGAACTGCAAAGTGCTGTTTGGCATAGTGGGAAAATAGAATTTTTAACTCGACAACGTGATCAATGAATGGCTGCACAACAAAACCACTATGGTCAACCCTTAAACCCGTGTCATATTTGATCACCGGCATCCAAACAGTCAATAGACAGGCATGATTATTTCTGCAGTTCTTCCAAGCCCATCATGACATCATGTTGAAACAAAGGTGACGCTGAATGTCAAAACTGGCATTCGTGGGATTCTATTTTAATAATAAACGTTCTCGTTAGTTCTTTCAAGTGAAGGACATTCACGGCTAAGTTGTTGACGACGACGGCAACGTCAATGACTGTACTATTCCCACATATTTTATGGAACAGTTTCTTCACAGTATCGATCCAAGCGTTGAATAGGCCTCACGTTCTCATCCCATCTTACCCAATCTGATGAATCTTCGTCGATTGCATCATCAAATCCTCAACGAGGAATTCAGCCGTTTTGTGTGTGTGTGCGTGTGCGTATCTGTTATAAGCACAGATCTGCACCACCCACAGCCAAAATTTTAGAAACTTAGCGTGAGCCTAAGATTTCAACACCCACTTCACTCTCATCCTACCTTAGACTGCTATATCGAGCAGTCTTATTGGATTATGAGAATGAGGACCATCATGGTTACTTCTTTTGCGATTATTACCTAAGACAAGCTATTTCGGCTCTTGATTCATTCACTGACAGTTTAGCGGGCTTTTTTCTAGAAATAGTCGTGTAACCTATTTGTTACATGTTGCTAAAACGACCTCTAATACTCTTTCCAGTCATATAATTACAGTGTTTTAGTCGACTCACCTTTTACGATGCAACCTGTATACACTTTAGCACGCCCGCGAACACACATAAATTCAATAGAATGCAGAACGTAAGCCAGGTTTATTAGAGCCAGAGAATCGATCTCCTTTATTTACGTATATCTCTGTACAAACCTCTTTTGGTCCGCG